TTTTAGAAACGATGCTACAACGACTGTCCCTCATAAAATAAAGCAATATACATCAAAGAAAGGACAATTGTTCGACGTTGACGTAGTCTATGATGCAGCGTTGGAGACTGAAGAATTGAAGGCAGAGACGCCCTTCGTTACTCTATCAACTGACGTCACTCACACGTTGTCACGTGACCCTCGTGACCCCTTTGCATCCCTATAAGTAGGTATAAATAAATTTCAATTACAGGTGGAATATAAAGTAACCTTGAATGTAACATATGTTCATAACCGACGGGAGAAAGTATAAACCTGTGTGATTACCTCACTTGTCTGATCAATAACTTTGTCAAAACATTATAGTAAACCCTCTCTCTCTCTCTCTCTCTCTCTCTCTCTCTCCCCACAGGTTGTCCTAGATATAAGACGTGTCTCTGGGAGAATATTCACCCTTCGTTTTTACATAGTGATGAGGTCGGCCCTTTGTTCGCGATGAGCATTTCGCCATAACGTAATATTTATGAAATTTCTATTACCGCAATAATGTAATATGTAGAAAGCTGTGGTTAACATTTATTATCTGCTAGTGATATCTTCATTCGTTGCTCTATTATTGTGGCCTTATGGCCTTGTCTGTCAAGAGTCCTCCACGCCCGCTAGGTGCCCTATACTTTCGGCCTTGTGCCAATCTAAGCTACGCTTAGAAAATCAATAGCACACTTCGGCGTGTTGTAATGGTTACGACTGAATAGTGAGTTCGATCCTCACTGGGTGCCTCAAACTTGTGCTACATCTAAGCTACGTTTGGAAAATCACTATCTGTCACTAAGATGCTTGTGTGGCGTAGGCCTTTACCAAACCAGTACAAAGCTTGAACCATCAATCGAACACTTCATAGCATTTTTTTCTTCCTCACTGTCATTTTCGATGCCTTTGCCAAATCCTTTTGTTAACCTTTCAAAATCCATTCTTATTTGAATTAGCCATGTCTTCTTTGTTCACTTCCTTTTTCATTCGTCCCCGGACATTTCATTCCACATCAATATTGACAATGATGACAACAGACACTATAATATTTTAAAAAAATAAAATAAAATAAAACCAACGTTACTTTTTCTCGTTTTTTCGATCTTCTTTTCTTTCTCAAATATCATTTGCCGCTCCTTTTCTTTTACTAGTTTTCTCTCCTTGTCGTTTTTTTTATTTATTGTCCTTTTTTCTAAATTTATTATTTCATGTCAGCCAATCTTTCTAAGTTCTTGGTATTAAATTTCTTCAGTTGTTCCGAGGTTAATTCGTTTTCCTTTGTTTTTATTCATATCTACACACGTTCACTTATTTTTTTCGTATAGATATTTGTCTTTTCTTTTCCTTTTTCCGGGACTGGTAAACATGGCGTATGCTTTTTATCTTTTGTTTTCAATATGAAATCCTTTATTCTTCCGTTTTGTCTTATATATCCTTTTATTTATTTCTATTTTGCTTACTTTCGTTTTCTTACCAATTCTATTCTTACTTGAATTAGAGTTTTCGTAATTTTTTTTTAACATTTTTGTTTCCATGCAGTCAGGTTTAACTTTTTTGGCTTTTTTTTTCATATATTATCATCTTTTTCATTCATACACTTTTTTAAAATATTTTTTTTTCTCGTTTTTTATTTTTCATTCATGTACTTTTTAGTTCTTTTCTTTCTACCTCGAATTAGCTTTTTATTTCTTTGGCTTTATTTTTTTTTCTACCGATCTTCTTTCGTCACTTGAACATTTCTCTTCTTTTTCCCTTTCTTTCTTTTACTCTTCTTCCTTTCTTTCTTGTACTCTTTTATTCTGTTTCCTTTTCTTTCTCGTAGTTTTCACTTCTTTTTCCCTTTCTTTCCCGTACTTTTCTCTTCTTTTTCCCTTTCTTTCTTGTACTTTCCTCTTCTTTTCACCCTCTTCCTTTTACTCTTTTATTCTTTTTCCGTCTTTCTCGTACTTTTCTTTTCTTTTTTTTCCTTTATTTCTTGTACTTTCTTTTTTCTTTTCACCTTCTTTCTTGTAGTCTTTTATTCTTTTTCCTTTCTTTCTCGTACTTTTCTCTTTATTTTCTTTCTTTTCCCGTAATTTTCTCTTCCTTTTCTCTTTTTTATCGTACTTTTTTCTCTTTCCCTTTCTTTTTTGTACTTTTCCCTCCTTATTACCTTCTTTCTCGTCCTGTTTTATTCTTTTTCCTTCTTTTCACGTACTTTTCTCTTCTTTTTTCCTTTCTTTCTTGTACTTTCTTTTTTCTTTTCACCTTCTTTCTTGTATTCTTTTAGTCTTTTTTTCCTGTACTTTTCTCTTCTTTTTTCCTTTCTTTCTCGTACTTTTTTCTTTTTCGCTTTCTTTCTTGTACTTTCTTTCGATTTTTTTCTTCAAATCGATCTCGTACTTTCTTCTTTTTTTCTTCCTTTCTTTCTTGTACTTTTTATTCTTGTACTTTTTTCTATTTTTATCTCCATCTTTCTAAGCATTTTCCTTCTTTTTAATATTATTTTTTTCTTTTTTTTACTTCTACTTTACTCTTGTTTTTTTTCCTTTTATTCATGTCCTTTTCTATACATTTCTTCCTCTCTCTCTCTTAAGAGTTTTTGTTTCCTGTCAACCTTCTACTTTTCTAATCTTTTTTTCTTTTCTTTCTCTTACTTTTCTGTTGATTTTTTCTTTCTTTTATTTTATTTTTCTTGTAATTCTCTCCCGTTTTTTTTTTTTTTACTTCCTTTCATTCTTTTAGTACTTTTTCCTATTGTTTTCATTCATTTTCATGCTTACTTCCTTTCTTTCCACATCTCCTTCTTGTTTATCCTTTTCTTTTCCACGGCCTTTCTTACTCTTTTTCTTTCCTCTCGATCTTATATTTTTTTCTTTTTTCAATATTTTAGTTATATTTTATTTCTTTTTTTTACTATCAGACCCCGTTCTTTTTTTTTATTCTCATTCGCTCTTACTCACTTTTTTCATTATGTTTCATTTGTTTTCTTATTTTTCATTTCTTAATAAGTATTTTTTTTTCTTTTTCAACTATTCCTCATCTTATTCCTTATTCGTTTACTTTTTTCTTTTTTACATTAAATTCATTAAAGTTTTAGTCATTTTTTTAAATTTCCAAAGTTTTCATTCGTGTTTATTTTTTCTTTTTTTTACCTTCATTTTAAAATTTTCATTCCTCTGTTAAGCTCTTTTTTTCTTCATATTTTTAACATTCTTACCTACAGGAATTTTTCCTTTCTTATTTTGTTTATTTTTTTTCTTCTTGAAATTTTTTCAAGATTTTTTTTATTTTTCATTAGTTTTTCCTTCTTCCATTTTCATCAGCTTCTTCTCACTATTTTTGGGTTATTTTCCGTTTTTCTTTTTCCTTTCTTCAGTTGGCCCATTCCTTCTTTTTTCTCTATCGTTCTCCTCTCTTTCAAACATATGAATTCTTTTTTTCTATTATTTTTGCTTTGTCTTTATTTTTATTCTTTTTTTATATATATTTTTCATTTCTCTTCGTTTTTTTATTTATTTATTAACGTCTTCAATTTTACTTTCTTTCTTTCTTTTCCTGTTTCTCATTTCTTTCATTTTTCTTACATCTTTTTATTTCAGTTTTCCTTCCTTTTTCTTTTGTATCGCTTTTCTTTATTCTCTTCTTCTCTTTACCTTCTCTATTATTGTTTTCTCTTGTTTCATCTTTTTATCGAATTTTTATCTTTCATCCATTTTTTTTTAATTTCATTCACTTTCTCTTACACCGATTTTTTCTTCCTTCTTTTCATTCTTCCTTCATTAAAAATGTTTTTCTCATGATTTTCTTCTTCTTTTTCGTCGTCCTCTTATTTTTTCTTCTTATTCTTTTTCTTTGTTTTTTTTCTTCTTTTTTTATTCTTTTTATTTTCATAATCGTATTTTTTCTCTTTCTTTTTCTGACACCAATTTCACGTCATTTTTTTATCTTTTTTTTTCTTTTTCATTTTATGCTTATTTTTTCGCCTCTGTTGTCCCTTCTTTCATTGACTCTCTTCATTCTTATTTTTATTTATTTTGAGTCTCTGTCAATTCTATCGTTCTTCTTTTTTTTTTTCATTTTCTCCCTTCCTACTCTCTTTCCAAATTTCATTCTTTCTATCCGTTTTCTTTATTTCTTTTTTTTATTTTCTCCTTCTTTCTTTCATACGTTTCTTTTTCTTTGTTTATTTCCTTTTTGTTTCTTCTTTTCTTATTGCTTTCCTTTTTCTTTCTTCTTCTTTTCGATAATTTTTCTTTCTTATTTCTTTCCTTTTTTTCTTTGTTTTTCGTTCCTGTTCTCTTTTTTTCCTTTCCACGCCGTCTTCTCTACATTTATTTTTCATTTTTAATATTATTCATATTTTTTTAACTTTCGATCATCTTTCTTTCCATGCTATCCTTTTTCATCCCCACATTTTTTTTGTTTATTCCATTCTCGGATTTAAATTCTGTATCATCTCCTGGGATTTCATCTTCCTCTCTTTCTCTCTCACACACTCACAGTCCTATTTCGACACGAGATTTATGACAACGTATTAGTATATCGCCTTCGAACACAATACATTTTCAATACATCAGTAGAGAATCCGACAAAAACAAATGTTAAAACAACAAAAAGAAAAGCTGAAACGAAAATTTTTTTATGATTCTACTGACAAGTCCATCATGGCGCATGTAACGGCAAAGTGATGAACGCTGTGGCCGAACGAAAACGTGAGATGTTTTATTGGTTTAATTTAGCGACTGTAGGTGGCGCTGTTTGGGATACGTTTTATGATCTGCTAGAACGAAGCTAATCAATTTTTCTTTATCTGATTTGTTCGTTTGTTATATTGGATTGTTTAATTATTTATTATTTATGTGGTATTTTGTCTGCTTTTTCATAGAAAGGGAAAATGGAGACTCGGCGAGATAAACCAGAAAGAACGACAATAAATAGACGGAGAGAGAGAGAGAGAAGACATCTCTGGATTAGAGAGAAAAAAAAGAGACCAAAAAGTGTCGGGGAAATTAGAAAGAAAATAACAATGTAAACAAAAAGAGAAAAAAAAGCGAAATACAAAGAAAAAAAACTAATATAAAAATTAAAGATAGATAGATAGATACGAATAAACTGAGATATGAACGGATAGATAGATAGATAGATAGATAGATAGATAGATAGAAATAAATATATGAACACAATGAGATAGATAGATAGATAGATCGATAGATAGATAGATAGATAGAGAAATAAATAAATTTGAAAGCAATGATAGAAATTGCAGATTGATATAATGAAGACAAAGAAAGAAAGAAAGTTGGAATTACAGAGCGAAAAAATAGATTGATAGATAGATTGTTAGAATAAAAACAACGAAAAAAAGATAGATAGATAGATAGATAGGACTGAGATATAGATAGATAGATGAATGGGACTGAGATAGATAGAATGATAGATAATAAGGACTGAGATAGATAGATAGATAGATAGATAGATAGATGAGATAGATAGATAGATAGATAGAATAGATAGATAGATAGATAGATAGATAGATAAGGAACAGACTGAGATGAGATAGATAGATAGATAGATAGATAGATAGATAGATAGATAGATAGATAGATATGGAACAGACTGAGATAGATGATATGGATAGATAGATAGATAGATAGATAGATAGATAGATAGATAGATAAGGACTGATAGATAGATAGATAGATAGATAGATAGATGAACAGTGATAGATAAACAGTGAAGGAAGGAAAATAACTGTATTTACACACGAAATGTGATACAGTGGCTTCTTTTTTAAGTCTGGGAACAAACAGAAAAAAGCGATGCTCATCAACAAGTTGCACAAAATCCAAGGACAGAACGCCGATATTAAATAAAGAAAACATTCTTCAGTGAAGGAACAAATATATGTGAGAACACTTGCGCAATGCAAGAGAACAACTGGTAAAAGACAGAAATACTGACGAACCGGAAATATTAAAAACCAAAATGGAAGCCGCACTGTCCAAATTCAACAGAAATAAAGTGAGGTCTTGGAGAAAAAGCAAACAAAAAGGAAACTTATACTTAACATCAGAAAGAAGCAGTTGAAATTTCTGGGGCACGTAATGGTGAAGTGGGGTTTGAAAAACTTGATACTCACTGGACAGCTTGAGGGAAAGACGGACAGAGGAAAGCAGACTGTGACATACTTGATGGGCTTGAGTAAATGGATGGTAGAACAGGGGTTGTGGGAAATAACAAAAAGAACTTATTAAGAGCTACAGGAAGATGTGGAAGGTCATGATCGCATCCTTCAAAATATTGCTGCAGTTATAGGAAGTAGGCTTATGCTATCGAAATAGCATAAGCCTACTTCATGAAGCGCTAGATGGGAAACAGATGTCCAAGATCCAGGACTTGTAGACACAGCTGACCATCTGTCTATATGAGGTATTATGTACACTATTTACATTATTCGGACTATTGTCCTCATCTTTGTCGCCATATTTATTACAACGTTTCGGCCTTTCAGTATCTGTCTATATTTCTGAGATGAGGTATTATGCACACTATTACATAATTCGGACTATTGTCCTCATCTCTGTTGCCATATTTATTACAACGTTTTGGCCTTTCAGTATCTGTCTATATTTCTGAGATGAGGAATTATGTACACTATTTACATCATTCGGACTATTGTCCTCATCTTTGTCGACATATTTATTACAACGTTTCGGCCCTTAAGTATCTGTCTATATTTCTGAGATGAAAGTGAGTCAAGTGATCTGGGCTAACTCACTAGTAGATACATATACACAAAAACTGCAACAACCCCCTTATTTTGGGTATATTATGGAATCTTCCTTCAAAATATTAGTAAAGTCAATATTAATATGTAACAAAAACTTTAGTATTCCGAATTTCTTTTTGTTTTTTTAGCATTCATAAAATACATTTTATTTTTATTATTTTTTTTTATTTATTAAAAGAAAATTAATATCCATTAAAATTAGTCCTATCACTTTGTCCACAGTTAAGTATTCAGGTTAATAAATATTAACAAATAATATTATAATTTGGGGTTGTGATCACAACAAAAAGTGGAAAGAATTGTTACTTTACCCATGGCTGGGACCCATTAAAACAATTACTATGACTCCGGGTCAGAGTGATCCTGAGAGTCATTAGATGAGGATTGGGCTAAAAGTAGGACTATTTACATTTATACCCCGAAACTAAGGACTTGCATTCATACCAAAAACTGAACTGACGTTTCTTAGGACAGTAACTAATGGATGCAGTTTTACGTCCTACCCAGGACTAATAAGGACCTAAGAGGGACTTAATGGATGCAGTTTTACGTCTTGTCCAGGACCAATAAGGACCCAAGAAGTCAGTACCAAATATGGCAGAAGTGAAAAGCCCGTAATTTCAATTTCGTAATTGGTTTTGTAAATAAATCCGCCATATTCCTTCCCGATTGAACGTATTCAATTTGTACTGTTTTCTTTTGTACTTGGTCCCTAACAAACTGATATTTAATATCGATATGCTTTGATCTTTGATGCATTATTGGATTTCTAGCCAAAGCAATACTGGCCTGATTGTCACAGTAAATAATTATTGGCTCAGTTATTACCAGTGTTGTAATTGTCTTTATTAGTAATTTAAGAAAAATAGCCTCTTGTGTTGCTTATGATAATGCAATATATTCTGCTTCACAAGTAGAAAGTGAAATCATTCCATGTTTCTTCGATTTCCAGCTGATTATTGGGTTACCGTCTGCTAGCTTAAAGCCTGTTATACTCTTACGATCTGGTGAGTTGGCCCAATCAGCATCACAAAATCCTTCCAATTTTAATGGTTTATCTGCTTGTCGAAACACTAGGCACCGACTCTTAGTTCCCTTTAGATAACGTAATATTTGTTTAGCTCTCGTTAAATGCACAGTCCCCGGTTTATTTAAGTGTTGGGACAACTTAGTAACCGTATAGCAGATATCTGGCCTGGTTGATGTCATCACGTAAATAAGACTTCCGACCAATGTTCTGTATTCTTTCTCACACGCCGCTATACCATCTTCCTTATTCATAATTCTGTTTAAATCCATTTCACATGGAGTTCTTGTTTTACAATTTTGCATGGTGAATTTAGATAAGAGCCTCTCGATGTCTCTAGATTGATTCATTGTAATAGTGTTGCCTTCAAATTCGAACTGTATACCAAGAAACCATGATAGTCGACCCAAGTCGGTCATTTTAAACCTTATTTCCAGATAATTTTTGATTTTTAATAGAGCGGCCTCACACTTTGATGCAATTAACATATCGTCGACCCAAATAACCAGAACTACTAATATTCATTATTAAATGTTCTCGTGTACAGACATAGGTCAACCTGGAGAGATTGAAATTATTGTCTAATTAAATAAGAATGGATTAAATTATTCCATGTTCTTCCGCTCTGTTTGAGTCCATATAGTGACTTTTTAAGTTTCCATACATAATTATCACCTTCTTCAAAACCTTCTGGCGGTTCTATGTATATTCCATAGTCGATGGCAGCGTTCAAAAATAAGCTGCTTTCACATCCATATGGTGTATATCCATACCATAATGTGCGGCCATTTGCATCAAAATTCTAATTAAGACTGAATGTTTTTACATAAGTCGCCCCACTTATAATCTTCCCCATATATTTACGAAAATCCTTTAGCTACAAAACGAACCTTGTACACTGGCGATCCATCCTCAGTTCGCTTTACAGTATAAACCCAACGGCTGCCGATAATATTTTTATCATCCGGGGCCTTTTTAATTCAAAAGTGTCCTTTGATACTAAAGATTTAATTTCTTTTTTTTTGCATGGCAGCTATCCACCGTTTGGAATTGACATAATGTATGGCTTCTTGATAGTTCTTTGGGATACATTGTACCGAATAACAACAGTCAATCTCGCAGGTATTACATCGATCCATTCCAAAATAGTTTGGCTTTCTTCTATTTCTTGTCGGATAACGCTGAATTTTTCGCCCCCCCCCTTATTAGATGTATTTTCTTTTAACTCAAGTTTTGCGTCTGATTGTGCCTCGTCTACATCATCTGGTATAACACCTTCCTCTGATTGTGGATTTTGAACGGGTTTCCTACTTATAGGCCCATAATTAGGCCATACTAGTTCGGGTTGGACTAGTTCCTCGCAGTTATTGTTCTTTTCTTCGGGTTCATCACCTGGCACAAAGGAATCTGTAAATCTGACGCATCTGATCTTCCTTATTTTTTTTCTTTTAACATCCGAAATATTACAGTGGCCTAATATTTTATGCCAAATCCTTAAGTCGTGTGTGGCTGTCTTCGCAGACTTAATACTTTTCAAATAATACAAACGTCCATTTTGCTGCATATTAAATTCAGTTCCGTCTGGATATATTAACTTTGAATTGTCTCGGTGAAAATTGATTTTAACGCCAGTTTTAATTGCAGACTGAACTGAAAAAATATTTTGTTTAAATTTAGGAATATATGAAGCCTTTTTTAATAAATATTTACAAATATTTCCTTTAGTATTTCGTAAATAAATACAGGCATCGCCTCTTTTTAAAACTAAATTATTAGCTCTTGTCCCGTCAGCTAACTCGATAAAATGTGAATCGGGTTCAAAATTGGGGTCAAAATTAATAAATTTTGTTTCATCTGTAATTACATGATTTGTCGCACCCGTTTCGACTAGGTAAGAATTATAACTATTGGCTACAGTATCTAATCCAAACGAAAAGGCATATGTTCGCCCATTCGAAACATTTTTCCAAAACTCATTCCGTGTATAAAATTGACATTTTGCACGGACATGGCCGATTTTACCACAACGAAAACAAACGATATTTCTTTTAGTATTGCTATTTCCGTTATAAATCTAGTCATAATTGCCTTTAAAGCCCTTGTTCTTAATATCATAATTCCTAGTCTGATCGGTTTGAGGGACTGGTTTTCTGAATTTTTTAAATGACGTTCTCAGTTGCATTACGTTATTGCCTTGATTTTGGTGGGGACACATTTTTCAGTTTCTTCATAGCTACGTAACGCCGTTTTAATCTCAGTGAAAGTTAATTGTTTATCTTTTTGAGTTATAACTGTCGTGAATGGTTTGAATGTCGGTGGTAAACCCTTCAAGACCATGGTTATTAGCAGTCCATCCGAGATAGTCTCACCTGCAATTTTTAAGGCATTTGTAACATTCTCCGCTCGGATGATATAATCGGTTATAAATTCATTTTCTCGTCTCTTTAATGCGGTTAGTTCAGTATATAAAGCAATAATTTTAGGCTTACCTTTTGACAAGTAGTGTTCACGCAAAATTTGTAGGGCTCGCCATCCATTGTCCTTGGCCTCTCTCATTATTAAAGACAAACTCCGGTCATCCAGGAATTGTATTAATTCAGCGAACACGGTCACATTTCTTTCCATAAAATCATCACCCCCTCCACTCCGGTCGTCTTCGCAAAGAATGATGTCATGGAGTTTTTGTATTCAGAGGTAGCCTAAGAATTTCGTTTCCCACAATTCATATCTTGACTCATTCCCGTCAAAACATAATCGTGGTCTGGGCTCATAACCAATGTTGTTCATCATGACGGTCGTCTTCGAGTATAGAATCCAGAGGTTAGCAGTGAATATTTCGACGACAGTGGGAAAGCGTTGTTCAGGTTAGCAGTGGATATTTTGGTAAAAGGTAGCAGAGCATAGTTCGTCCTTCTGTTTCTCTTCGCCTGACAAGCTGGACTGGATATTCGGGTAGCGTGAACAAATATGGCCGCCTTTATACTCGTCGGATTGAATATTCTACGTCTTCTGATTGGTTAACCTTCTATTGGTGGAGTATAAAGTGAGTCAAGTCATCTGGGCTAACTCACAAGTAGATACATATACACAAAAACTGCAACATCTTTGTCGCCATATTTATTACAACGTTTCGGCGTTTCAGTATCTGTCTATATTTCTGGGATGAGGTATTATGTACACTATTTACATTATTCGGACTATTGTCCTCATCTTTGTCGCCATATTTATTACAACGTTTCGGCGTTTCAGTATCTGTCTATATTTCTGAGATGAGGTATTATGTACACTATTTACATTATTCGGACTATTGTCCTCATCTTTGTCGCCATATTTATTACAACGTTTCGGCGTTTCAGTATCTGTCTATATTTCTGAGATGAGGTATTATGTACACTATTTACATTATTCGGACTATTGTCCTCATCTTTGTCGCCATATTTATTACAACGTTTCGGCCGATCAGTACCTGTCTATATTTCTGGGATGAGGAATTATGTACACTATTTACATTATTCGGACTATTGTCCTCATCTTTGTCGC